CAACTGATTATTTTTTGCTTTTGTATATAAATCAAACTTGGGTTTCTCATCTAAACTTGTTTACATTGTGTTACATCATCCAATATGGCTAGGCCTGTTATAGGTTTTTCATTATCATGATTATGTGGTACTGATTTTGCTCATTGTTGAAGGATGTGTTGTTACTAACAATTACATCACTTGGTCTACCGTTGATGGTTGTCTCATTGAAAATCATACCACATCTCCTTATTCTGGTTATTGTACATTCATGACATTATACATGTTATACAAGACTACAATATAATCAAATGAATTATAACAATTGTTAATAGTTGTCCGACTTTTGTTAACAAAAAGCAGCTATAATCAACATGGTAGACATGATCAATGGTGATGTAACAAGAGTGACTGTGCACACGCTGAAATGTCATATCTGCTTTGCCTACATGTAAAATTGAATTCATGTTGAATGTAAAAAATGTAATACATGTATGAAGGTTTTACTACATGTACAAGTATCACATAAACTTTCCATTATCAATTACCTTTGAAAATGAAGTCATGGTCAAATTAACCATGCCAGACAGATGATGTACAACCTACAAACTGACATTCCATACCCAAAATTTAGTGGTTTATAGTATCTGTGAAATAGACTTAACATCCAAACCATAAAAATTAAACATTGCCCAATGATTATGAAACATGAAAATGAGGTCATGGTCAGATTTAAAACCTTCCAATCAAACTTGTACAACTTACGAAAATATCCAATACGCCAAAAATAGTGATCCTATACATGTCATGCATGTACATGTACATGTAGTTTATAGCATCTGAGAAACATTTGGGAAATAGACCAAACCACAAAAACTAAACATTGTTCAATGAACCATGACATTTTCATTGAGGTCAAAGTCTGATGCAAGTCTTGCAGTTAGATATATTCACCTTACAATCATTTCATACACCAAATATAGTTGACCTACCATTCCTACTGCTTTTAGTATCTGAGAAACAAACTTGACAAAGTAACTGAAATAACCTTATAAATCACTGATCCATGAAATGAAGTCAAGGTCAGGTTAACCTTGCCTGACAGACAACGAGACATGTAGACCTTTCAAGATACCTATATATATATATCATATAAATTTATCCAATTACTCATTACACATGCTATACATGTACATGTAAGAGAGTATTTCACTGTATGACTGTTCAAACAGTAATATTTTTTTTCAAACAGTCAGTGAACCATGAAAACAAGGTAAAGTGTAAGGACAAGTTACTAACAGAAACTTCATAACATAAAGAAGTATCCAGGTCTTTAAGCTTCTAAAATGTACCTAGTGAAGCTTTATACAAATAGGTTACGCTGTAGCCGCTGCCAGATTGTAATACCTATTTCTTGCATACTTCAACTTGTGTTGCAGGCGGGACAATAAAATTATACTTTGAAGTACATGGTTTATTTGTTTAATATGCTTAAAATAAAATTGAGAATGGAAATGGGGAATGTGTCAAAGAGACAACAACCTGACCATAGAGCAGACAACAGCCGAAGGCCACCAATGGGTCTTCAATGCAGGGAGAAACTCCCGCACCCGGAGGCGTCCTTCAGCTGGCCCCCAAACAAACATGTATACCAGTTCAGTGATAATGGACGTCATACTAAACTCCAAATTATACACAAGAAACTAAAATTAATTAGTGCATTTTGGCACTAATTTAGATTTTTATTTAATTCTAATTCAGACTTAAAGTACAGAAAGCAGTCATTTGACACTAAACAATTGTGACGGACTACAAGAGACCCTCATGGATGGTTAAGGTCTTTTAACACACCCTGGTGCTAGTTAACAATTGCAATGCCAACATAAACTTCAGATTCGATATACATGCACTGTTTTGTAAATTTCTCTGAAACTAGAAATTCACATTATCCAAATTGTTATTATATTAAAATGACTGATTATCCACTAAAGTACTCATGAACTCAGATATGATGCACTATTATTATTAATATTCACTGAAACTATGAATTTTCATTATTCCAAATGGCTATTTCATATGAATAATTATCAAAGGTATTCATGGAATTCAGATACAATGTGTGATTGCACTATTAATATGCACTGAAACTATGAAATCTTGTTATTCCAAATTCATTATTGATATACCAAATGAATAATTATCATGATTATCCAAGTTATTTAGTCATCCAGTACTGTGGTCCTCCTTTAATACAATTTGTATGTTTCCTATTTGTAAAATGCACAATTTTTTTCTTGTCCAATTTAATCCTAACATCACAAGTCATCATCATCATGGAATAATGCTGCAAGTGCTATTCGTTATTTCCAAAAACAATAAATAACTAGCACAAAATAATGAATTAATCCACTGTTTCACAATTTGCAGCTATAAGAGTGACTCAGTGACATCTATATGCACTTCCTATGCATCAAAGTGCACATGTAGCAGGCTTCATATTCTAAGTGGGAATCATGCTCAAGCCAATATGAATCTACAAAAAAATATATACATTGAGACTAAAGTACAGTAAAATTTTAACTAACATAATACTATATACATTGTACGGTACTTAGAAGAAAGTCAATTAGAATAACTGTATTTACCTAGATGAAAACTAGCATTCCTCATTTGATTGACAAAAAACTTCTAGGACTTATACAATTATATTTTTAAGTCCCAATTTTAAACAAGAAGAATAAATCTTTTTAGGGGGTCTAAATTCTATATATGGTGTTGTCTTTTTTCCTACATTAATGATTTTGTGACTGTGTACTTTCATTGAAGGGTTACTGTCTTATTGAGGCTCACACCATACTTTATTTCATCAATTCTTTAAAGTCAGACATCATGGACATAGTTATTCCTCTCTAAAACACAACAGGTTATTGCTTTTGTTCATGTTAATATGAAATAGATTGATACTACAGAGAAAAGTTTAAAGAATGAAAAAAATAATTAAATAAATAAATGCACTGTTACTTTATAGATGCTATTGACTTTCCCTTTGTCAAGTGCATATAATGAATAAACCTTTGTGATGTAAATGTAGAATCTTTGTCCTAAGGTTAATCAGGATAATATATATACTGTTCCAAGGCTTAACCCTCCCTGTTAATGTTTTAAATCCTTGAGTTTAATTTTACATCTTTTGTGTTACTGGTATACTTTTTACTTATTACAGCTTGTATTAAATAATGCTTTGCAGCTCAGACAACACTTTCTTTATTTTATTTTAGTTATTTACCCAATTTTATTTTGATAAATCAATACTCAGATAACTTTTAAAATATGCATTTTTTTGTATCCAAATTAATTTTATATCCTGCTATTTCATATTTTTCTTAAATTATAATTTATTTTGAAAAATTTATCAAAATTTTATTGAAGAGGACAATTATAATTTGTGAACATCATTATAAAATCATCTTCAATATATACCCATCACAGTTTAAAATTCCTCCCCAAGGCAATAAACTATTGTGTGTCTTAATCTGTATATTAGCTATAGCATGTATATAAGAATTCCTGATTATCACCTATCCAGTGTTAACATCCTGATTATTACCTATTTTAACATTGTTTAATGTCACATTTGTTTGGTCATGAATTCATGTTCAGTAAATACATATATTTTAATTATTTATTTTGAATTTGAATAAAAGGTTTTTTTAAACTAAATTATTAAACATACAATGCATTTTATGACAACTTACTTGATAATACAATATCTATAAAAAATATTTTGAGCTTCATAAAATATTTTAAAAAAGTTTATACCATGTTTAGATAAAAAAAAAATATTCTTACAGATAGATTTTTTTGTTATGTTTTCCCCACATAGTGAATTTTAAACATAAAATAATTATGTAGAAAAGGCAAAAAATCTGCAGTCAGATGTGAATGCACATGATGAAAGGAGATGTAGGATATAATTATATATCAATGATTCATCAACCCAACAGTAAGGCAACAACAAAGTAACCAAAACACAATTTAACACACAAATTTGACTCATGAATAGAAAGTCCAGTCCTTTAATCATTTTAATGGTGGAATAAATAAAAAGACCCTTGAATGTTACTACTAGACAACATTTATGGCATTATAAATGAATTTTGACTAACCATGCTACAGGGCACAATTTATATAAAAATTTCACATGAAAATATATAGTTTAGGTTCAAAGTATTTACAAATGTATAGTGATTTAATATTCTATGTTAAATCTAAAAAGAATATAATTATGATGCTAACTTTGCTCTTTTAATATGTTTTTTATTTCTTTTTAACTTAAAACCATGTACATGTAGCAATTAACATGATGAAATATTTATAGATATTTTATTCATTGTAATTATTCATTTTGAGAAAAGATGCAACAACCTCCACAACCCTTGTTCAATATGAATCCTTAAGTACATGATGAAACAATTACTAATTGAATTAGCACATTTTGTTTAATAAACTGTTTAAATGGCAACTGTATGACTCTGTGCATGGTTTCAGGAACATTTATTTAATAATATTGTTTTATTTTGATGATTTATGTTATTTTGAACCATCTATACATATTCACTTTCAATGCCTAATATATTATCAAATGTATTCATGTTTTGTTGTTCATGATTTGGGAAATATTTAGAAATTGAATGAAAATGCATACTTGCTAAATAAGTCACTAAAATTAATAATTTTCATAAAATTTTATGGTCATATATGTTTTCGTACACCGTCATATTAATTCATTTTGTACTACATGTATGCATGTTTTTTCAATGGAAATTGTGACGTCACAATGCATTCTTAATAGAATGAAAACTATCAGCCAATAAAGCAAAACCAGGGAAATACTTGTAATCCAGCATTAGTAACACAATTATATGGATATGTACATGTAACTATTGGTTGGTTGTTGGTTAAAAAAAGTCCAGTGACAAGTATCTCATGCAAATTTAAGACCAGAGAGTTAACAATACATTAAGGTTCATGTGGACCCTATTTTGAACAAATGGAAATAAATATATTAAAAATACTTCTAAGCGACAAATATTGTCATATTGTATATCAAAATAATTGTCATTTATCCTACTTTATCACAAAATTGTCCTTTTAGATGTTTTATATCATATATTGTATTCCTTTACCACTCAAATGTTCATCAGCACAAAAAGTACACTGGATTCCTGGAGTCTTTAATACCTGTAAAAAATTAATAAAAATGTTCCTTAATGTTGTTTCTAGGGCATGCTATATCTTAATTGTACATGGTTTACAACATAAGAGACTACCTGGTCAAAACAATCAAGTCTTGGCAAAAAAAATATTGGTAAAAAACTTGTTTGAACTACTTTTTTTCACAAAAGTATGGTGTGCCATGTAAATATAAATATACCAATACACATATCGTAATTAGCTAAAAAGACATTAATTAAGTAGAAGATATCTAAAAAATTAAGCTTTCTAGTTAAATCTTTCATTATTTTAGTATTTAGAATGTTCTTTTCTAAATATATTATCATTTTCAGTGTTCTTGTGTATTTTATTAAAAAAATTAAAAAATATAAAGGGAGGTAATAATATCCCAATCTTTAAATTATTTATCTATACTTTAATTTATATCTTTTTCTTTAAAATTTTAAGGTAAGAATAAAAGTCAATTGATGTAAAAAACAAACAAACCTAAAACAAAACCGTTTATAATACTTTATTGGATATCTGGTATAATCTAAAAACACTTAACACCCCAAGTTACTTTTTTCTTCATGAAATTATTTTATATACATTTTGACAGATATAATCAGATAACAGGATAACTTTGTTTGGGTATTATTTTGTGTTTATAACAACATTTGTAGTAAGGATTCATCTCCTCAGGTAACTGTATTCTACTCTCCTATTATTTTACGATGAAATCATAGCGGTACTGATTAGTAATATAGACTAAAATATTTCATACATTAATCAGTACCACATGAAACCAATATAGGCAATTATAAAAAAATACTGTAAAAATCTTACTGTTAAATATCTATGAATTTCAAGGATGAGTTTCTATAGTCTTCTAACAACTCCTTGTGTTGAACTTCATTAGCATCATCCTCTCCATCATATTTTATCTCATACACTGCATTTACATCTCCATCTGACTTCTTTAAAACTGATAAGACCAATCCTTTAAACCATTTTTTACACCCGTCTTCCAAAATCCATTCATGTGCAATTCTTCTTCCTAAAAATTTAATGGTACTGCACTTTCTTCTGTTCCTAAAAAATATATAATATGCCAGATTTAATTTAAATTAATGTGATTATATAAATGCAATACAGTCAAGTAAGTTTACTTGTTCATTACATTTACATGTACAGCAAGATCTGCTTACCCTTCAAGAACACCAGATATCACTCCAGATTTTTGGTAGGAATCATCCTGCTCAGTCTTTTTGTACTCTTGCTTGTCTTTGGGACATTTTTCTTTTTTTTTTTCAATAGTGTTATCAGTTATTTTGGACACATGAGTTTAGTGTTCAGATTAGTGAGTCATTATTATGTTTTTGAACAATTTGAAAGAAGGGGTCTGATTTATTTTTATTGTAAGCTTATTTTTTGGGTTGTTGATGATAAAATTACTGTATTTTTTTACAGCGAAAAATATACATACTAAACAACAGTTATGCAAATATATATATATATATAAAGGGGAAGCACTTCTAACACTAGCAACAGGGTCATTGGTGCAATTAGTAATCATGATGGCAATTCTACTAATTTGAATGTTATAAAACTTAACAATGTACAACAAAAAGCATGTATCATAAACAGTTTGACTGTTATCAAGTAAATTATACTCCATATCATCCTTGAACAATAATTTACTAACACAAGTTTTATTGTTCATTTTCATGATGGTATATCTTTGGCATGGTAAAAGTTGCACACTGCAGCTAAATTGTGGTGATATTGATTCATTGCACAAAGATGCTCTCATCAGGATATATTTAAAAACTAAAATTTAATGTTCAAAAACTTTCATCCATTGTATAGTCACTCTAATCATTAAAAAGTTGTATCATTCCCAAATGAGACAACTCTTCATAAGAGACCAAATGACATAGAAATAAACAACTATAGGTCAACATATGGCCTTCAACAAGGAGCAATACCATACCACATAGTTAGCTATCAAAGGCACTGATTTGACAAAGGTAAAATAATTCAAAAATTAAATTAAAGACCGTACTGTGACCTATAATGGTTTACTTTTATAAATTTTGACTTCGATGGGGAGTTGTCTCATTGGCACTCATACCACATCTTCTTATATCTATAATTAATTCATGTACCCAAAAATTAATGAAAAAGAAATATATAGCACAGCAACAAAGGACCATCACTGAGTTACAGGCTCCTGACTTGGGACAGCTACAAATAGAATTTGTTACTTTTCTCAAAATACATAACAGGGTTTTAGTGGAAGGTACATGATTCATTTTTTAATTTGTTATATGGTTTGAACTTGCTTTTTATAACTGAAAATACTCTCAGATCTACATTTGATGCATATATACCCTCACCAGCCTATCTTTGTTTTTGTTTGATGTTTTTCTGCCTTTTTTTTAATTGGCTAAGTCTTTTTCAACTGATTTTTATAGTTTATCCTTATGTTGTGCTGTTACACCCCTGTCCCAGGTTTGGAGGGGGTAAGGGTTTAGCACTCTTAAACTTTTTTCACACACCACATTTTTTATTTCTCTGTCCTAACTCAGAACCCTGTAGTTTAGTGGTTGTTCTTGGATCATAAAATTGAGAATGGAAATGGGGAATGTATCAAAAAGACAATGGGGAATGTGTCAAAGAGACAACACAACCATAGAACAGACAACAGCAGAAGGTCACCATAGGTCTTCAATGCACCTAGAAACTCCCGCACCCGGGGGCGTCCTTAAACAAATAAATATACTGGTTCAGTGATAATGTCTATCATAAGTGGGTTTTTTTTTAAATTCTTTTCCTATAGTTTAGGCCATTCTTTTTCTCGATTGATTTTTTTCATATTTCTATGTCCACACCTTTTATAACCAAGTAAACAGTATGGGATTTTTCACAATGTTGCAGGCCGTACAGTGGTACTTATACCTTCAATTAAACTTTTGGGGATAGTGGTCTCATTGGAAATCATACCACATCACCTAATGTTTTATATTAATGCTTAAAATCATCTGTTAATTTGATGTACAGAATTACATGTACCTTTTTAATGGTGGCAATGGGTTAAAATCTGTCTTTGTACTTTCATCATCAGTGTCATCATGGTCATGAACTGTTTTTTTTTTTGATGGACCAGGTGTACTTCCTTTTATGCTGACATTATACTGCAAGAAAATAACTATAGGTAAAAAATAATCTGCAATAAATATAACATTCAGTTTAATTTAAAACATACACAGCTACTTACTACAAGCCTACTGACAATAAAGAATTAAAATGCAAATAGATATAGGAAGATGTGGTATGAGTGCCAATGAGACAACTCTCCATCCAAATAACAATTTATAAAAGTAAACCATTATAGGTCAATGTACGGCCTTCAACAATGAGCATATAAATCAAGTGCATTTTGGTGCCTGTTCAATCTGTTCAGTATGCAAGATTGGACTTAAAATATTGCTTAAACCTCACAAATGATCTTTAAATGTAATCATTTTTTTGTCAAAAAAGTCCATACTATTGTTCAATATAAAATTATGAGAATAATATTAAGGAAATTGATTATCTAAATGTGATAATTTTTTAATAATTCTAATTGAACAAATATTGAATTGCCCTTTTATTTTATAAATGACATTTGTTTGACTACAGAAATAAGTAAATTTTTACTTGTGACCATTTATATCAGCTGGTTTTTTTTCAATATTCTTGTGAACATTTTAAAATTTATCTTATATACAATATATATGAAAATATACCAAATCAATTTTACATGGTACAGGTGAATCCACAGGGAAACCTTTGGGTCTGACCCAGACTTTTATAAAATTAAAAAAAGGTCAACAATTGACACTAGTCTGATTAATCTATTCAAATTGTCCAATATAATCAACCAAAACTGAAGTGTTGAGCAACCTTTGAAGTGTGAATTGTTAATTTTTTTTAAAGAAAACAGCACAGGATTATTTTATAAAATGCATACCCATATACCAGGTTCTCTAATACCAGGATATTTGTTGTGCCTTGGATGACTAAGTTCTGGTAGCATTGCATTTAAGAAAAAGGCCTTTAGTTTTGGTAATAAATTCTGCTCCCACAAAACTGAGTCTCTATAGATTCTATCAATATTCATATCATACGGATTAGTGGTGCGTACAATAAAATCAATCCACGGTAATTTACAAATGTTCATAAGTCCCTGACATTGATAATAATAGTTGTGAGTTTTTTTAAGTTTCAGCTCATGATTATTATTTTTCTCTAGGCAGAAGTTTTTAATGGAAGATGTAGCCTGTAATAAGGTCATTTCTTTGTTGTGAAGAACATTTTTAATTTCTATTAATCCTAGGTTGTTATGTTCATCCATTACTTTCCCATCTGGGCTAGCACCTAAAAATTGAACCTCTTCATCCACAACAAGACCCATGTTTTCTACTTTTACTTTAACTTTTTGTTTGGCTTTTTGTTGAATATATTCTTGTATTGTCACCCTTTCCTCTCTTAGTCCAAGTCTAGTAGCTTTGTTACCTTTAAAGGTACTGTATAATAAAGAATTTACCAAAGGAGTTACAGGTATTTTAGGATTCCTTTTGTAAACAAGGCCGAAATTTGATGCTGTTAATCTTTTCTTTCTCTCATCCATCCATGAAGCTGATGTTATCTGTAATTTAGTGTGTTTTTCAATTTCTTTAATATGAGATAATTCTAAATTATAATTTTTTTCCATAAATATTGTCTTTTTTCCCTCTAACTCAGATTTGGTTATGTCTTCCTCAACTTGTATACTTTGGTTTCCATAATGCATTCTTGCCTTTTTTGTGTTACCTTCCTTAACTGATGCCATTTTTCTCTTCCATCTACTACTTTTAATTTCAGGTTTTGATTTTATGATGTTGTTATTTTCCAAAGCTAATTGTCGTTCAGTAAAAAGCTTATCAAAATGGTAGCCTGGTATGGTGTTTGTGATGTCTTGCCATGTAGATGTTGACCATTTCGGACCCCTGTTAAAACGTAGTGCTGCACCATAGCATCTGGTATGCCATGATCCACGGTTGCAGTGGTTAAAGATTTTACCCCCATCAAACTTGGATCTCATATGCATCCAGCATTCGGCAAGGTTTGTTGTAAAGTTACCTATCAAACTGATGCTTTTCTTAGCCACGTTGTTTAATATCAATGCTATATCCTGACGCATTGCACTATCCAAGTCTGATGGGAATAAATCATAATCAAACCGTGATTCTTCTTGTGCCTCTAAGGATGTTCCATCTGACCACATAGACGCCTGATCAGTAAAAACATTATCATCAGTGTCATCATTGTCTAAATCTATATGCTGACCAGCATTTGTCTTACTTGCTTTCCCAGCTTTGCAGAATTCACTACACCTGGTATGGTCACCGTATACATGTGATAATGTGTTTCTTATATCAAATTCTAGTTGTTTTGCAGCCTTTAATTTATCTTTCTCCTTCGATCTCATGCGAATTGCACATCTTACAGCACTTGTTATTCTTATTCTTGTTCGTTTGCAAAGTTTTCCTTTTCCTTTATAAGTTGGAGTCTCCACCACTAGCTTCTCCAAATTTGACCGGAGACATTTACAGGTGTGATTCGCACACTCTATGTTTTTAACATGCTTTCCCCATACTGGGACTTTCTGTTGTATTTGGGAATACACAGAGGAGTCACCATCACCAATTAAGTGCATATATCTTATTCCATGTTTGTCTGCTTTTAGAAACCCTTCCACAATTATATCCGCCTCCATTGCCTGACTAGATTTATCCCAGTTCTTAAAACATTCATGTTCTTCTACATCAAGTTTCAAAGTTTTTGCTCTATTACAAATATAACAAAACTTATTTCGGACTCCCACATGAAGTATTTTTTTGGTTTCAACTCCAATAATGATTGCAACTCCCCCTAATGCATTGTAGGTATGCTTATGTGATCTTTTGGACCACCCCCCATCACAAATGACACTAATTGATGGTACACCTAAAAAAAAATAAAAAAATACCAGACTTTAACTTATGCAACTACTAGTTATTTCAACTATAAATATGTCCAAGATTAATTCCTACAAATTACCACAGATCAAATAAACAGCTTGATCAAAAGTATATATTGCCATGATCATGATGATGGCATATTGAATTTGTTGACATAATAAAGATAAACAAGAGAAGTTTTTAAAATGGCTCTAAAGATAACTTGCATGAGATATCCTTTGGCTAATCCATAATGACTGTACAAGTCAATGGCAGTGTAAATATTGCTTTCACTAGCTAATATAAATTTTTTTAAGTTCCATCAATGTAGAATGACAAATCAGAAAGCTTTCAATATGATGAAGGAACTTTGCTCATTATTGAAGATTGGACATTTTGAATTTCTAAAGATTTTATCTATTAATAACACCTTCAATAACTGCATCAAAATTAGCAGATTTATAAACCTTATATCATACAAATGTATGTTATATGAAGATAAGAATCCATTATCCGAAAATATGCACATTAAACTAATGAATGTTTTTCTGCAATGAGGAATTCTAATGATCATGCTGTTTAAAAACAATATAAGATAAGATCTATTTTTAATTCGTAAATATGGCCCCTAATTACTAAAATTTTGAGGGAATTACCCCCAAATTCAATCCCAGCCTTCCCTTTGTGGTATGGTACCTTGCAGTACAATTTCAGAGAGATCCATACATTTTAACACGTTATTGTCTGGAAACTAGAAAAATGCTTATTTTTGGCCCCTTATTCCTAAACTTTTTGGGTAATTAACCCCAAACTCAATCCCAGCATTCCCTTTGTGATATGGAACCTTGTGGTACAATGTCGGAGAGATCCATACACTAACACACAAGTTATGTCTGGAAGTTACAAAAATGCTTATTTTTGGCCCCTAATTCCTTAACTGTGGGTACCATAACCCCCAAAATCAATCCCCACCTTCCTTTTGTGGTATTGAACCTTATGGTAAAATTTCATTGAGATCCATTGACTTAAACTAAAGTTAGAGTGCGAAAGCTAATGTGTCTTCGGACGACGACGACGCCAACGTCATACCAATATTCGACCACAAAAAAATTTTTGTGGTCGTATAAAAATTGACAATGAATACTATTAAAAGAGGGGACAGATATCAAAGGTCCATTCAAACTCATAAGTAAAAAATAATGTGACCAAGCCATGATTAAAAAGACAAAGACCATAGACAAACAACAATACACAAAATAAAACATAAAAAACTAATCAAAAGATTGAACATGAATCCAACAAAAAACTGTGTGTGATATAAGGTCATAATGCTACACATGTGGCACCCGTCCTGTTAGTACAAACCCAGTAATTTATAGGTCAAATTCATGGAAAAGATAACAGTATTGTATTTACGACACTTGAAAGATATCCACTATGAACTGTGAAATGGATATTCCATATAACAGTCAACCAACTTGTGATGGTTAAATTGAAAAAATTCAGGACTTTGAACTCTTGGTTAAATATATATATATAGCTTCTTTGTGAGCAGCAACCCTCTATGAAGGAAATTATGATAGGATATACAAGCCCTTGAATATCTTTTAAGCTTGGAGATATTTACTCTGTATGCAGGAGTTGCTACTTTGAAATGGAAAGTTCACAATTGAAGCTGAAATCATCTCTTTTGTTGTTCAGTTTTATTTTCAAGTGACCTTCATTGTCAATTTCTAGACTTGTTGCAATAGTATTACATGTATTAGGAAGTGTAGAACATGTATTCTGTGTATCTGTATAGTGATCTAATTGGTTGATTATATAGGGAATCACTGAAGCATGACTGGAGCCCCCCCCCCCCTTATGAAAAGTTCTGGATCCGCCACTGTGTCGTCAATATTTATGTTCAGCCTGTGGTTAAATATTTAAAATTCTTTTTTAACATCAATAAATTTGTAAAACCTTTATGAAATTTTACAGAATATAGGCTGAAACTTTTTTATGATCAAAAGAGTATCCAGAGCATAATTATGAAAATTTACTTTGAATTTTTCTGCATTTTACTGAAAAGAACATTGTTTTTATAAGTTAACAAGTAGATACATGTACAGTTACTGTTTGTGAGGCATCATATTCCTTTATTTTTAAATGATTTCAAAACTTTTATAACAGTCAGCAAATTTCAGTCTAAAAGTTATATTTTTTTTTCATTTTTCAGTATTTTACCATTTTTTGGGGGCTACATTTGTAAACTTTCATAGATTGTTATGAAACTTGGACAGAAGCTTATCTTCCAAGATCACCCAAGATCAAGAAAAACATTTAAAGAAAAGTTTGATTTCTTTTAAATCCTGTATTTGACTGATAATTTAAATGGATCCATTTTTTATAGTTTAACCGACAGCAGCAATCCCAGGCGAAACACAGGATTCCACGGAACCCTTTGAGTATGTTTATATCACACCTGACCATCTATGAAAATTTATTATTGCATGTACTTGTCCATTAACGAAATTTGCGCATAAAAGGGGAGAAACTAGATTAAGTCATAATAATCGAAAGAACGACACCATTGAAAAATGGAAAATGTAGACTTGCTTTTTTTATATTTCGAAAAGTTTGGATCTGTGGTCGATTGATTGTTTTACCCCACATCTCCTTTTAAACATATTTCATAGTAACAACTATTGGCCATTAGATTCCAAATCAACACACTGAATAAATTATACATGAAAAAATCAAGAAATTATATTTTAAAGTATGTTGCTATTGAGCTTTAATGACAGAAATAGTATCTCTCGCTCAACGCTCAATAAATCGCTTCCGTTGGATCCCTGCTGGGAGGTCCCTTGCCCTGTACCCCCTGGGGACCCTCAAACCCCTCGCCGAGGTTCGGGCGTACATTTAAAAGTTGCTTAGCTACGCCACTGACCACACCTTATTATTATATTGTAAATGTTTAAAATTTAAATCAGTGTGATAATGGTGATGTTTTGATGTATCTTCAGGGTTTAGAATTACAAATGTTTTGGGGGCCAATCTGCCAATGGCCCCTAAAATTAGGTGCTTGTTATATAATTACTTACTTATTATTAAAAGGCTTTTCTTGTACAGGAGGTTATATAATATGTTTGCTACAAAATGTAAGCTGATGATAATGATTTTATTAATGAATTTGTTGACCATTAATGTTTTGAATGATTAATGTCCAGTGAGCAGTATTTCAGCTTATTTCATGATAATTTAATGTTTTTGTTTTTAATCTACATGTATTGCTAGTAAAAATTTAGAGGTGTGGACAAGCATGATGCATAAAAAATTTGTTAGCTCATGCACAATGGGATGCTTGTTTTTTTAAATTGAAAAGAAAATAATATAAACCGACCTTCATGAAATCTATTATTTTCTATCGCTATGAGTTTTTCTTCCTCGATAGCACATTTCAGATCTTCCTCTAGCATGTTCTCCCACCAATGGTTGATTTCATTCTCAATTGTTGAAAAGGTTTTTTGAGTCATAGATGGTGAATCCATTGTTGACATTAACTCATTCAGTTGCGCTAGTCCATTACCACTTGTTAGGGAACCCCATGTAGCTCTTACATTGATGTCGTAATGGTTGCTTCCCTCTGTTTTTAATTTTGGACTAGTCTCCAACACAAACTGTTTCTGACAACCTGTACAACGTGCTGACAGAATACAGGCTAAGCCATAGCTTGAAAGTTGTGATTCCAAATTTATAGCGCTCCCTCCATTATAGGCAATTGTTCTGGCTGCTTCGCAAAACATTGTGTGGGTAGTAATTTCAGTGAAATGGTCTTGCATTGATTTTAAATTTATTAATCTGTATCCAGAGGCAGTAATATTTGTAACTTTATGCTTTTGATACTTTCCTTCTTTACTACGGTATATATAGTAGTTCTTCTTAGAACACTTGTGCCACAGATTTATTCTCTTTGCTTTATTTCGCTTTAATGACCTAAACTTTCTAATAAGTTTTATCTTAAAATCCTCCTGTACATTTAGGTGGCACTCGAACTCGCTTTTCTGACGTCCACTAAACAAGCTTACACTCTTTCTTGTGGAACTATATCTGCCAGAAGGCAATCCAAACCTGCTTAGTTGTTTCTTCTTCTTTGCCATTGATTATAGTTAAGTTTTGAGATGTGATATCGAAATATATTTTTATAGTGCTGATAGTGATAGCATGAACAGGTGTCCATATAATTGTAGGTGTGTAAACACCAGAAATTCAATAATAAAACCATTTTTTTATTACAAATATCGAAATTTTTCACTTTATTTCAGTGACAAGGGTACAACTCTACAGATGAAATAAAAAAAATAAAACCATAAAAAGTGTAATTTCAAAACGAAACCGACTGGTGATCAAGAGATCATATACCTAATTTCAGCTGATATAAGTGATCGCAAGGGGTTGTTAGACAAAATGTAGTAACCATATATACCTGACGTTATAACTTACCAAGTGGAAGTGTGTAATTTTATAAAATTTCACCCAATATTGGCTTTTAGTCTACTTTCACTTTCTGTCTTGTCAATGATCAGGGTTGTTTGCACTTCCGCCCAATCCGGATATGACTTCACAAAATATAGTTCCTACAAAATCATAAATATTTACCCTTATTTTATGATCAGAAATTGTAAATGGTAATTTGATAAATATATGTTTGTTTACCACATCGAAAAATCAAATCCTTTTAGTGATAAAAATTATTAGTTTTATTTTGCGGATGTATTTAATACTTTGCGGAAACAGCATGGAAGAAGACGAACCAAAACAAACACAATCACATAAAAAATAATGTCATGGTAAACAATTTTATGGGTTTCTGATGTTTAAATCAGTGAGTTAGTACTGGTTATGATGTAAAAAGTTATAATTTTCTACATTTTTGTCCATCAATATTGCAAGGATTTTATTTCCTCTCCTTTCAAAGTTTGAAAGCTTGGATTTTCGTCAATGGAAGTCTCGCATTTTACAACATTGGAATTTTATAAGGAAATTGGACAGTGTAATGAATTAAAAAAAAAAAAAAAGTATAGCATGCCCTCGCTTAGATCACAAGGTAATGTTTTATATCAAAAATATGTAAAAAATAGTACGCGTGAATGCGGTTTACTTTTTTTCCTCGAAGGTGTATGAAATCTATAACGGGTAAAATTGAATGTTTAAAATAATTAATCAAATTGAAGATGTGCTTTGCATGTTATTGCAGAAGAAACTATGCATGACAAATTTTCATATTAATGTTAAAATAAGTTTATAAATTCCTCACAAAAGTACAATTGAAGTGTCTGAAATTGTTATGATTTTTGGCAGACATTTTTTTTCTGTAGGGTCCACATGAACCTTAACATACAATATGTACATGATGTATACATAGGTCCTGTAAAAGGCCATCCCACACAACAAAAGTTAGCCAATGCCCCACATGTTAGAGTTTAACAGTAAGACGATGAAGATCAAGAGTAACATTTTTTTATTCCTTTGACCTTGTCACCCTTGGTGTGATGTATTCAAAGTAAATAATGGATTAAATGACATTCACATGATAAAAGTTGGAGGGGGAATGGTGTCATACATGAATTTCAATGATGCACAACTTTTCCAAGCCCAAATCCTAACTTTGCCTTGGAACATGCAACTATGCACGAGTGTGGTGATATAGATCGTCGATTCATAGCCTGTCTGTAATGTAGGAAGAACAAAATGTGCACATTTTCCCTTCAAAATCTTGGATCCATGATTATTCGATAGACATGCTTTAAAATATTGTTCATTTCTACTCACCGATTGTAATTTCCAGCTCAGGTTATATTGTACATGTGGTCTAACATCTGTAGTTTCCTGTGTAAAATATAGTTTGCCGACCTGCAGGTCCAGCTTGCCGACAAGAAAATAAAGAGGGTAAATCGTTCACGGTGAACAATTGTTTTCCGTTTTTAATGAAACTTGACAGATTTAATTAATTTTTTTTTATCATCGGAAATATCCCTCACGGGGAGTAATTCAAATTAAACTGTACAATATTGGTAACTTAGTCATATTCTTTAAATTTACTTCAGGTACACCGACGGTACATTTTCTATTCCTCAGAATTTATCAAAACTTTTTCAAATATAAATTTGAATGAATTCATTAGCATCTTCTTCAGTAATATTAAAACTCCATTTTTAAACGAAGGCTTCTGGTATGTAAAACCAGTTATGAACGAATCTGAATAGATAAATTAAAAAGTACAGATACTTAAAGGAAAGTCAAACGCACATGTCAAAAATGAACGGACAATGCTATGGCAATAAACGGAAAACGACAAAAGACAAACAACGATCGCAAAATAAATAAATAAAAAACAAAACAAGTCAACAACCGCACAATAGATAATAATACTATAAATTATGGGCTATTTCACAACTATATCAAATCGTGAGAGCCGGGTGAAACGTAATTTCTTTTTTACACTGAGTTGCTACCGTGACGCTAAAATATTTGTCGACTGCAACAACCTATGAAATGTTTGTTTTAAACATTTAACGACTGTAGCAACCTTTTACAATTTGTAATAAACATTTTATGACTGTAACAACCTTTAAAAAGTTGTAACAAACATTTTACAACTGTCCCAACTCTAAAAACGTTGTAACAAACATTTTTTGACTGCATCAACGTCTGAAAAGTTGACACAAACAAATTTCAACTGTCCCAACTATTAAAAGGTTGGGACAAACATTATACAACTGCCACAACTTTTGGAAAGACTGTAATAAATAGTATTTGACTGTGACAACCCCGTAAACCACTGCAACAGTCCTTAAATTACTGTTGATAACATTTTTTGATTTTCACAACCCATAAAAGTGTTGGGACAGACATTAATCAACTGTATCAGTTTCTTTGACAGTCATCTTCAGTCTTCCACAGACTAAGACAGTCGTACAACGACTGTTACTGGTATGGACAGTTGTTTTTTCGTCCAGTAGTGCATGTGGTTGATAAAGTGACCCACCCCAGAAAACGCAGTAAAACCCCTGGACAGCCTAATGTTCAACGCAAGAAGCCAGAGCAAGTTCGGTTAAACAATCTAATCTCCGGATCTGATATCAAAACCATCCACGACTTCGTCCAACGCTATAAATAAATACATTATGTCTGACATCCTTACAATCACCGAAGGGTTGACCTTCGACGAAAGTCTCCAGGAATATCAGGTTCGAGAATACGAACCACAAGCCGGTGCCCAGCTGAACAATGCCGGTGCTGAAAATCCGAATCAACATCGAAACCCAGGATTTGTTCCTACAACCCGCCGAGAGTTATCACGTGGTGGAAGGTCGACTTCTCAAGAATGATGACACAGCATATGCCAATGGCGATCTTGTGTCGCTCACCCATAATGGTATCATGTATCTCTTCGAGAGCATCAGTTACAGGCTTTCCGGTCAGCAGATCGAACATATTAACGACCCCGGCATCGCCACCACTATGCTGGGAATGTTAACCTACCCTGACGACTTCTCCAAATCGCAGGGTTTCAACCAACTGTGGTATAAGGATTCTTCAACCGATGCTGAGGCTGAGAACACTAGATTTGCAGCCCGCCATGGATACATTATCACCAAGCCCACCAACAAAGGATCGTTTTCGTTTGCCATCCCCCTAAAACATATTTTTTGGATTCGCAGATGATTACAACAAAATAGTGTACGAGTTCAGGCACGAACTCTCACTCGTTCGCGATTCAAATGCTAATGCCATTCTGAGAGCAGCTGCCGTCAACGATCCGGCAAAGATCGTCCTAAGTAAACTATTGTGGTTCGTCCCTCACGTCACCCCCTCAGACGAAAATAAGATGCAACTGTACAAATCCATCCAGAGTAAATCCAAGATCCACTGTGGATTTCGCATGAGACAGTGCGATTCCATAGCCGTTCCCCAAGCCTCACAGTTTAACTGACGCCTAGTGGCCGCGAAAAGCCTAGATATATCATCATTGCCTTCCAAACCAACAGAAGTGGTGACCAAACGCATAATGCTTCCGTGTTCGATCACTGTCGATTGCGAAATATCCATGTCACCCTCAACGCTGAACGTTATCCGGCAGTCGACTATAATGCAGCTTTCAACGAAAATAGAATCGCCAGAGTGTTCAAAGAGGCCTCCGACTTCAGAAAGAAATTCCACAACATGGACATTCTCCACAGTAATGCTGGTATCAAACCCTCCGATTTCATTGACTTGTACCCCTTGTTTGTAATCGATGTGAGTCATCAGTCTGAACGTCTCAAAGAATCTACGGTAGACATTCAGATCCGAGCCGAATTCGCCCGCAATGTTCCAGCCAACACCGAAGCGTTTGCACTTGTCATTTCCGACAGAATCCTACAGTTTGAATCCGATGGTCAGAAGATGAACGTCGTGTACTAAAAAGTAAAATGGATAAAATTCACCTACAACTCCTCTTTGCCAGTCGCCCCGCCGAAGTCTATGCGATCGTGGGGAAGGCTGATAGACAACTCAAGGAGCAGTATGATGGTATCGAAGAGTGGAAGCAAAAATATGTGACAATGGTCTACCATAAATAAATGTACAACATATCGTTGCAGCAAATTGTCAATAACACCGACCCAAAGCATGGGTTTTCCTTCATCGTCTCTGGAAACAATAGCCAAATCCTTACCCGGTTCTACCCCCCACTGCAACTCAAGGAATCCAAGGCCTACGAGATGGCATTGGTAAACCTGGAAACCTACTACTCCATCCCAAACATTCACGCAGGTAACAATTCCTTCCGCTATTCTCAAGACGAAGGTGTTACCTGGTTTCCCATTGTGTTAAGCACTGGCTCGTACGGTATAAATGAAATTAACAATGAGGTCCAGCGACAGATTCGTCTCAACCAGCACAAAACTAAAATCATCATCGATGCCAACCGCTCGACGCTGAGAGCAACCCTGACCCTAGCCAGACGCTTTCAAGTGGACTTTGATGTTGAAAACAGCCTTAGCACCGTGTTGGGGTTTGAGCGACGACTCTACACTTTTGATAGGGCTTCAAATGGTTACACTGAGGGTGAACACATTGTGAATATCATCAGCATTAACAGCATTCTGGTAAATAGTGATATCATCCATGGTAGTTATGTGAACGGTATCCAGCAGTCTACCATCTACAGCTTCTTTCCCGCAGTCGATCCTGGTATGAAGATCATTCAAACCCCCAAAAATCTAGTATACTTGCCGGTGACCTTGCGAACCATCAATCGCATGCAAACGTATCTCACCGATCAAGACGGTATGCCCATCGATTTCAGGGGTGAACATCTCACCAATCGCTTTCATCTTCGTGAGGTATAAATAAATGATTTATCACGAACATGGTTTGAACTTGACAAAAGGTCAAGCTGATAAACTTCAGCGGGCGGCTAAGAAAGGTTGTCCGATCTCCATTCGTTTGTCCCATACAAACCTGCAAGGCAAACACAAGATGTTGCTCACCACCCGCCAGGTTCAAAAGATCGCCAAGCTCCTACAGATGGGTACTGGTGGAATGGTCCTAGAGTTGAGTTCGACCCAATTGAAGGAAAACATGCAGAAGGT